TATAAACATCAGAGGCCAGCATTGGTTACAAGCAGAGGCTGCATCTGCTGCTGATGAGACACTGCATGTCAAAACCTGGTCCTTGACTTTAAACATCAGGTGCCACCATTGGTTACAGAGGCCCCGACTCTGCTGCTGATGAGACACTGCATGTCAAAACCTGGTCCTGGACTATAACCATCTGGAGGAAGCATTGGTTACAAGCAGAGGCCCCGACTCTGCTGCTGATGAGACACTGCATGTCAAAACCTGGTCCTTGACTTTAAACATCAGGGGCCAGCATTGGTTACGAGCAGAGGCTGAATCTGCTGCTGATGAGACACTGAATGTCAAAACCTGGTCCTTGACTATAACCATCAGGTGCCAGCATTGGTTACAGAGGCCCCGACTCTGCTGCTGCTGATGAGACACTGCATGTCAAAACCTGGTCCGAGACTATAACCATCTGGAGGAAGCATTGGTTACAAGCAGAGGCCCCGACTCTGGTGCTGATGAGACACTGCATGTCAAAACCTGGTCCTGGACTATAACCATCAATGGCCAGCATTGGTTACAAGCAGAGGCTGCATCTGCTGCTGCTGATGAGACACTGCATGTCAAAACCTGGTCCTGGACTATAACCATCTGGAGGCAGCATTGGTTACAAGCAGCGGCTGAATCTGCTGCTGCTGATGAGACACCGAATGTCGAAACAGGTCCAGAGCTTCGCTTGTGGTACTCCGTTCGAGAAGCTGTCAGCAAACAGCCAGCAAACAGCCAGCAAACAGCCAGCAAACAAGCCAGCAAACAAGCCAGCAAACAGCCAGCAAACAAGCCAGCAAACAAGCCAGCAAACAGCCAGCAAACAGCAGCAGCTTCTCCTCTGGATCTTGACGACCATTCCGTGATGTCTCACAGCTGCGCGATCCCAGAAGGGATGATGAGATGTGGACTTAACACCATACAATGTTACGCTAAACTTGATTCGATGCTTTCGTGACTGCAGGGATTATATAACGCAGCGCAGAGGCTGAACCTCTGCGCCGCATTATATCGATTACAATTTTTACTAAATCTTGTTCAATTTGATGTGCTCCTCCATCTCTCTGCGTTTCCTCGCTCTCTTCAATTTAGCTCTTCTATACCCGATGATGATTGCTTGCGTCGCAATCGAAACGTCGTATGCTGTAATGTAATTTTATTTTGTTATCATTTCTTATTTCTACGTGATTTTACGACAGAGCTTCAACATTTGAAGCTCCGTCATCCCGACAGCTCTGTACCTTTCACCTGAAGACGGCCCGCTTGCGTTGTGGCCGAAACGTCGTGAGAATTTTGCGTTATTTTATTCGCATTCTACGTGGTGGTGACTTTACCGAAAAAACCAAAGAAGATGAATCCTTGCAGTCACGAAAGCTTCAAATCGAAATTTAAACGTGTGGCACCATTGGGTACGGAACACTCTTTCAAATGATGTCCTTTGTGTAGCGAGGGAGTGAAGTGTGGTTCTGTCAAAGTCCTGACGTGCTGTGCCGTACACCAAGCGCACGTGTGTACACCAGCATGCGGTAGCGGAGTTTGGGCCTGTAGGGGGCCGGCAGGGTTATTTGATTAACCGCACTTGTACACCTAGTCACGTGGTTAATGGCGAACCTGTAGAAGAATTGCTGCGTGCGACGCCACGTGCCGTTGCATCTTACAGGTAAAGGACACGAAGGGTGTTGTGGCCCTGTTGTGGCCCTGTTGTGGCCCTGTTGTGGCCCTGTTGTGGCCCTGTTGTGGCCCTGTTGTGGCCCTGTTGTGGCCCTGTTGTGGCCCTGTTGTGGCCCTGTTGTGGCCCTGTTGTGGCCCTGTTGTGGCCCTGTTGTGGCCCTGTTGTGGCCCTGTTGTGGCCCTGTTGTGGCCCTGTTGTGGCCCTGTTGTGGCCCTGTTGTGGCCCTGTTGTGGCCCTGTTGTGGCCCTGTTGTGGCCCTGTTGTGGCCCTGTTGTGGCCCTGTTGTGGCCCTGTTGTGGCCCTGTTGTGGCCCTGTTGTGGCCCTGTTGTGGCCCTGTTGTGGCCCTGTTGTGGCCCTGTTGTGGCCCTGTTGTGGCCCTGTTGTGGCCCTGTTGTGGCCCTGTTGTGGCCCTGTTGTGGCCCTGTTGTGGCCCTGTTGTGGCCCTGTTGTGGCCCTGTTGTGGCCCTGTTGTGGCCCTGTTGTGGCCCTGTTGTGGCCCTGTTGTGGCCCTGTTGTGGCCCTGTTGTGGCCCTGTTGTGGCCCTGTTGTGGCCCTGTTGTGGCCCTGTTGTGGCCCTGTTGTGGCCCTGTTGTGGCCCTGTTGTGGCCCTGTTGTGGCCCTGTTGTGGCCCTGTTGTGGCCCTGTTGTGGCCCTGTTGTGGCCCTGTTGTGGCCCTGTTGTGGCCCTGTTGTGGCCCTGTTGTGGCCCTGTTGTGGCCCTGTTGTGGCCCTGTTGTGGCCCTGTTGTGGCCCTGTTGTGGCCCTGTTGTGGCCCTGTTGTGGCCCTGTTGTGGCCCTGTTGTGGCCCTGTTGTGGCCCTGTTGTGGCCCTGTTGTGGCCCTGTTGTGGCCCTGTTGTGGCCCTGTTGTGGCCCTGTTGTGGCCCTGTTGTGGCCCTGTTGTGGCCCTGTTGTGGCCCTGTTGTGGCCCTGTTGTGGCCCTGTTGTGGCCCTGTTGTGGCCCTGTTGTGGCCCTGTTGTGGCCCTGTTGTGGCCCTGTTGTGGCCCTGTTGTGGCCCTGTTGTGGCCCTGTTGTGGCCCTGTTGTGGCCCTGTTGTGGCCCTGTTGTGGCCCTGTTGTGGCCCTGTTGTGGCCCTGTTGTGGCCCTGTTGTGGCCCTGTTGTGGCCCTGTTGTGGCCCTGTTGTGGCCCTGTTGTGGCCCTGTTGTGGCCCTGTTGTGGCCCTGTTGTGGCCCTGTTGTGGCCCTGTTGTGGCCCTGTTGTGGCCCTGTTGTGGCCCTGTTGTGGCCCTGTTGTGGCCCTGTTGTGGCCCTGTTGTGGCCCTGTTGTGGCCCTGTTGTGGCCCTGTTGTGGCCCTGTTGTGGCCCTGTTGTGGCCCTGTTGTGGCCCTGTTGTGGCCCTGTTGTGGCCCTGTTGTGGCCCTGTTGTGGCCCTGTTGTGGCCCTGTTGTGGCCCTGTTGTGGCCCTGTTGTGGCCCTGTTGTGGCCCTGTTGTGGCCCTGTTGTGGCCCTGTTGTGGCCCTGTTGTGGCCCTGTTGTGGCCCTGTTGTGGCCCTGTTGTGGCCCTGTTGTGGCCCTGTTGTGGCCCTGTTGTGGCCCTGTTGTGGCCCTGTTGTGGCCCTGTTGCGGCCCTGTTGCGGCCCTGTTGCGGCCCTGTTGCGGCCCTGTTGCGGCCCTGTTGCGGCCCTGTTGCGGCCCTGTTGCGGCCCTGTTGCGGCCCTGTTGCGGCCCTGTTGCGGCCCTGTTGCGGCCCTGTTGCGGCCCTGTTGCGGCCCTGTTGCGGCCCTGTTGCGGCCCTGTTGCGGCCCTGTTGCGGCCCTGTTGCGGCCCTGTTGCGGCCCTGTTGCGGCCCTGTTGCGGCCCTGTTGCGGCCCTGTTGCGGCCCTGTTGCGGCCCTGTTGCGGCCCTGTTGCGGCCCTGTTGCGGCCCTGCTGCGGCCCTGCTGCGGCCCTGCTGCGGCCCTGCTGCGGCCCTGCTGCGGCCCTGCTGCGGCCCTGCTGCGGCCCGGCTTTGAATTGTAAGTTTGTGATATATTCAATTGGAGGGATTTTTGCCAAGGATGACACCGCAATTGTAATTCTCCAACGCTAATAAATGTTTAGTCCATAACCACGCCCAGGCACTCAAGAGTACGACTACTTGCAATGCCATTGAGCAGAGCGCACATGCATAGTCGTGAGTGGTATAATGGTGCCACGTACAGAACAGGTAATGGGTGTCAGATGCCGACATAAGCCGATGACGTACACTTACAGCTTAGGATTAAAGTAACATGCGAATAGTTAAGTGCAAATGTTACCGTCAAAGGCAAACATGGTTTATCAGTAGTGGAAGTAGGTTTAAGAGAAACTGCATTTGATTAAATTTCGATTTAAAGCCTTCGTGACTGCAATGATTCATCTTCTTTGGTTCTTTCGGTAAAGTCACGCAGAATGAGAATAAAATAAATTGATAAAATAAAAAAACACAATAATATTCTCACGACGTTTCGGCCACAACACAAGCGGCCTTCATCAGGTGAAGGGACGAGACTGTCTGGTAGGACAGCGCTGGAGTGAAAAAGCCACGTTCAGATACGGCCTTTAAGCTGTGTGAAAGGAAACAAAGCGCCTTGACAAAGGAATTAGCATATAATTTAGCATTGAAATGGCTGAGTGATTAGTACTGTGAATAGCTCAGATGTGTAGGCCTTGACTTCAACATAGCCATTTCTGTGACCAGTCACTAGCTAATCAGTTATTTCAATGCTAAATTCGCCTAGTTATTTCAATGCTAAATGCTCTTGTTTGATTTGTACTAAGTGCCTCGGTGAATGTGTATGCTCTGACTTTAACATAGCTATTTCTGTGACCAGTTACAAGCTAATCACTCAGCTATTTCAATGCTAAATTATATGCTAATTCCTTTGTCAAGGCGCTTTGTTTCCTCTCACACAGCTTAAAGGTCGTGATCTGAACGTGGCTTTTTCACTCCAGCGCTGTCCTACCAGACAGTCTCGTCCCTTCACCTGATGAAGGCCGCTTGTGTTGTGGCCGAAACGTCGTGAGAATATTATTGTGTTATTTTATTTTATCAATTTATTATTTTATTCTCATTCTCCGTGGTGACTTTACCGAAAGAACCAAAGAAGATGTATTTGATTAACCGCACTCGTACACCAGTCACGTGGTTAATGGCGACTCGGTTGAAGAATTGCTGCGAGTGTTTGTGTGTGTGTGTGTGAGACACCACGTGCTGTTGCATCTTACGGCTTCACCACAATAAAAAGTGTTTTGCCCTCGATTTGGAGAGCGCCAAATCGTGTGCGAAGCGCTGCAAACGCAAAAATAAAACTCGACTGCACAACGCAACGTTGCAACAAACTGGGATTTAATCGCAAGAAAAGCACTCGAGGGGTTTTCTTCAAGCAAACTAAATGACGATGATTACGGTGAATTGATGAGTGCCGGCAGAGACCGTCGACGATAACAGCTCGCCAATTAAGGGCGCACGGACGGCGACAATAACACAGCGAACCAATGAGGGTGGTGCACAACTATGACGACATTCGCAGTTAACCAATGGGGGGGGTGGGGGGAGGAGGAAAAGTTGGGCAACTATGACGCCATTTTACATAGTGAACCAATCAGGGGTCGGTGTATAACGACGGAGGTAAATGTCAGCCGACCAATCACACGCGGGCTTGCTCCGGGCATTGAACCAATCGGTGAGCATCGCTGGCGCTGCTGCAGCTATGGCTGAAGACGATGCCGCTGGATCCACAGCAGCGCCTAAGCCGACTTCTTGCCCTGCCGAAACCACGCACAAATCAACAGCGCACACCACAATCACACAACACAATCACACAACAACAACAACGCCCCGCTGGCAGGAGGTCACGGGGCAGACCCAGCAGGTGCCACGGGTCGACTGACCGAGATGACTGAGATGACTGTGGCTGATGCACCACCTGTGCCCCCTACTGTGCCAACCTGCTGTGCTTTTAGCCACCCGGCGCTCCGCTCGTTGTTGTGAGCGTCGCTCCTCCGTTGTTGTTGGAGGGCGACTGCCTCCAACTGCCCAGTAGCGTCCTTCACGAGCCTCCTCCACAGAGGCCGATCTTGACACCGCTGGTACCAGTCATCGGCAAGTCCACTCAGCTCCACGTCCTCCTGTACCACATCACTCCATCTCTTCTCTAGCCCGTGCCGCGCCTGTTTACCCCCCTCGATCCGGCTGAAGAAAAGCTGTTTGGGCATGCAGTGATTGGGCATGCGGGCTACATGACCCAGCCAACGCAGCCTTGCCTGCCAGAGGAGCTCACCGATGGGACCTTGCCCAGATCTTTCAAAGAGTTGTGAGCTCCTCACACAATCCAGTCTGGTTAAACCGAGGATGGATCGTAGGCAGGCCAGCCTAAATGTTTCTAACCGGCACAGATGTTCCATTAGGGGGGTCCACGTTTCGCAAGCGTAGAGAAGGGAGGGAATGACCGTGGCCGAGAAGACCTGAAGCTTCGTGCGGAGCGACAGACCAGGTAGCTTCCACACAGCATTACGCAACCGATGAAAAGATGATGCTGCTCGACTGATTCGGAGTGAGACCTCTGCTGTTAAATCGGAGCCGGTCATGAGTACACTGCCCAGGTATGGGAAACTCTCTACTCTCTCCACAACTCCCCCATCACCGATTGGGAGTTGTGGGGGTGGAGTGCCCGATGGTACAAAATACCCAGGCAGGTGCTTCGTTTTGGTGGGGCTGATGGTAAGGCCCCACCTCTTTGTGGCACACTCCAGGTTCAGCAGCAGCGCCTCAAATGCCTCCTCTGAGTGAGCCGCAATTACCAGATCATCGGCATACATAACATGGTTGAGCAATAGGGAGCCATCCCTTGACCGCACCCGGGCATCGATCAGCCTCCCATTATATCTGTACCATATGGAGATTCCCCCGGTACAGCTATTGAAGGCTTCAGGAACTACGTGGTCAAAATAGATGTCAAATAATGTGGGAGCCGGAGGACATCCCTGTCGCACCCCAAGGTGAACAGGAAATGGCTCAGACTCCGGGGGGGCTGTTCGGGGGGGCTGTTCGGGGGGGCTGTTCGGGGGGGCTGTTCGGGGGGGCTGTTCGGGGGGGCTGTTCGGGGGGCTGTTCGGGGGGCGGTCCTGGGCTGGCTGTTCGGGGCTGTTCTGCCGAGCCAACTCTGGGGATGAAGCCACCATCTGCGATCCTCGGTTTCCGGTCCAGTGATGTAGTAGTATCCCCGCGTGTTAGCTCGGCTAGGAACGGTGGGGTTAACCACCCCATGTCGTTATCCTGTTAATGTTAAGAGATGCCCGTTGTGCTTAGATAATAAACAGCGTTGCCTACCAACGTTCAGTGTGCGCCTACACTGCTGCTGCGGCTGCTGCGTTATTAAAGCCTCGGGGTTACCCCCAGCGGTAGCTGTGTGACACAAGGAGACTCGGCACGAGGCCTGTGAACAGGGATCGGACTGCCAGTATGGGGTAGCGATGATTGGTGCTGCTGCTGTGGGTCTATAGCCTAGGGGCACCCCCAGTGACAGCTGTCTCTGTGTGTGTCAGTCTGCTGGCAGTAGTAGGGGTAGCGATGATTGGTACTGCTGTGGGTCTATAGCCTAGGGGCACCCCCAGTGTCAGCTGTCTCTGTGTGCGTCAGTCTGCTGGCAGTAGTAGGGGTAGCGATGATTGCTGCTGTGTGAGTCTATAGCCTAGGGGCACCCCCAGTGACAGCTGTCTCTGTGTGTCAGCCTGCTGGTAGTAGTAGGGGTAGTGATGATTGCTGCTGCTGCTGTGTGGGTCTATAGCCTAGGGGCACCCCCAGTGACAGCTGTCCCTGTGTGTGTCAGTCTGCTGGTAGTAGTAGGGGTAGCGATGATTGCTGCTGCTGCTGTGTCTAGAGCCTAGGGGCACCCCCAGTGACAGCTGTCTCTGTGTGTGTCAGCCTGCTGGCAGTAGTAGGGGTAGCGATGATTCTGCTGCTGTGTGGGTCTATAGACTAGGGGCACTCCCAGTGTCAGCTGTCTCTGTGTGTCAGTCTGCTGGCAGTAGTAGGGGTAGCGATGATTGCTGCTGCTGCTGCTGCTGCGTGAGTCTATAGCCTAGGGGCACCCCCAGTGGCAGCTGTCTCTGTGTGTGTCAGTCTGCTGGCAGTATTAGGGGTAGCGATGATTGCTGCTGCTGTGTGGGTCTAGAGCCTAGGGGCACCCCCAGCGGCGTCGAGATTCACGGCGAGAACGACGTGGCGGGAGGGCGGGCGACTGACCGCACTCTTCGAGGGCTTCTCCGGCCCCGGCTTCTTCCTGCCGCTTTGCTTTGTAGCCCTCGTCCTCGGTTCCGCCTGCGTGTAAACGATAAAGAGAAACAGCAGCAGCAGCAGTAGCAGCAGTAGCAGCAGGAGCCGGGCTCTGGCTTGAGAATCCCCAACGCTGCCGAGCCGCTCCGACTTAAGCGATCAACGGCGGTGGAACTGCCCGCAGACGTTGACAGACGGCGACCCAGAGGGCAGGGCGCTGCACCAATCCCAATGGCTGGCGAACTGCCTCGATGTTTTAAACGAGGCGAGATTGGTTTTGACGTTTCGGTGTCATCAGCAGCAGGGCTCGCAATGAAGGCCTACCCCCCCAATCGGGTTAGCGAGTAGCAGCAGCTGTGAAGGGGGGGGGGTGAGTGGGTGGACAACACCACCACGCCCGGCCGCCTTTGTATCCCCCATTGGCGACGTTTACTGCGCTACTATGCCGCTAACAGCAGGTACTCACTTTTAGCTGAAAGTCACAACGCGTAGTGGGGTTGTTGTTGTTGTTGTGCAGAGTGGCCCAGAAGTCAGGACACATAGGGGTTGTTGTTGTTGTACAGGGTGGCCCAGAAGTCAGGACACATAGGGGTTGTTGTTGTTGTACAGGGTGGCCCAGAAGTCAGGACACATAGGGGTTGTTGTTGTTGTTGTACAGGGTGGCCCAGAAGTCAGGACACATAGGGGTTGTTGTTGTTGTACAGGGTGGCCCACAAGTCAGGACACATAGGGGTTGTTGTTGTACAGGGAGGCCCACAAGTCAGGACACATAGGGGTTGTTGTTGTTGTTGTTGTACAGGGTGGCCCAGAAGTCAGGACACATAGGGGTTGTTGTTGTTGTGCAGAGTGGCCCAGAAGTCAGGACACATAGGGGTTGTTGTTGTTGTGCAGGGTGGCCCACAAGTCAGGACACATAGGGGTTGTTGTTGTTGTACAGGGTGGCCCACAAGTCAGGACACATAGGGGTTGTTGTTGTTGTACAGGGTGGCCCACAAGTCAGGACACATAGGGGTTGTTGTGCAGGGTGGCCCACAAGTCAGGACACATAGGGGTTGTTGTTGTTGTACAGGGTGGCCCACAAGTCAGGACACATAGGGGTTGTTGTTGTTGTTGTGCAGGGTGGCCCAGAAGTCAGGACACATAGGGGTTGTTGCTGTACAGGGTGGCCCAGAAGTCAGGACACATAGGGGTTGTTGTTGTTGTACAGGGTGGCCCACAAGTCAGGACACATAGGGGTTGTTGTTGTTGTGCAGGGTGGCCCACAAGTCAGGACACATAGGGGTTGTTGTTGTTGTACAGGGTGGCCCACAAGTCAGGACACATAGGGGTTGTTGTTGTTGTACAGGGTGGCCCACAAGTCAGGACACATAGGGGTTGTTGTTGTGCAGGGTGGCCCACAAGTCAGGACACATAGGGGTTGTTGTTGTACAGGGTGGCCCACAAGTCAGGACACATAGGGGTTGTTGTTGTTGTTGTGCAGGGTGGCCCAGAAGTCAGGACACATAGGGGTTGTTGTTGTACAGGGTGGCCCACAAGTCAGGACACATAGGGGTTGTTGTTGTTGTTGTACAGGGTGGCCCACAAGTCAGGACACATAGGGGTTGTTGTTGTTGTGCAGGGTGGCCCACAAGTCAGGACACATAGGGGTTGTTGTTGTTGTACAGGGTGGCCCACAAGTCAGGACACATAGGGGTTGTTGTTGTTGTTGTTGTGCAGGGTGGCCCAGAAGTCAGGACACATAGGGGTTGTTGTTGTACAGGGTGGCCCATAAGTCAGGACACATAGGGGTTGTTGTTGTTGTACAGGGTGGCCCAGAAGTCAGGACACATAGGGGTTGTTGTTGTTGTACAGGGTGGCCCACAAGTCAGGACACATAGGGGTTGTTGTTGTTGTACAGGGTGGCCCACAAGTCAGGACACAAGTTTCCGAGGAGGCCGCAGCTGCATCCATGCCCCCTCACCTTGTTGGGTTTGTTCTCTCTGCAGAAGGCAAAACACAAACCGTCGCTAAGTAATCACTGGGGTGGCCTCGCCCAGGGGGACACCCCCAGTGGCAGCTGTCCCTGTGTCGTGCAAGGTGATCAATAATTCCCAATGCCCTGCTGTGGCCTCGCCCAGGGGGACACCCCCAGTGGCAGCTGTCCCTGTGTCGTGCAAAGGAGCAATAATTATCGCAGTCTACGTTCAGGATTTTGGGTCAACGGTGAGTCTGTGGGTCTCTGTGTGGTGAGTCTATGGGTCTCTGTGTGGTGAGTCTGTGGGTGTCTCTGTGTGGTGAGTCTGTGGGTCTCTGCGTGGCGAGTCTGTGGGTATCTGTGCGGTGAGTCTGTGGGTCTCTGTGTGGTGAGTCTCTGGGTCTCTGTGTGGTGAGTCTCTGGGTCTCTGTGTGGTGAGTCTCTGGGTGCCTGTATGGTGAGTCTGTGGGTCTCTGTGTGGCGAGTCTGTGGGTCTCTGTGTGGTGAGTCTGCTGGTGGTGGTCTTCGATTAGATTTATTTTATTAATCAAAATTCACTCACTCCTCGTGATGTGGCAGAGAATCCAGTTTCTTCTTTTTCTGAAAAAGAAAAAAAAGACCCACAGACTCACAGACACCCACAGACTCACCACACAGAGACACCCACAGACTCACCACACAGAGACACCCACAGACTCACCACACAGAGACACACCACTCAGAGACACCCACAGACTCACCACACAGAGACACCCACAGACTCACCACACAGAGACACCCACAGACTCACCACACAGAGACACACCACTCAGAGACACCCACAGACTCACCACACAGAGACCCACAGACTCACCACACAGAGACCCACAGACTCACCACACAGACACCCACAGACTCACCACACAGAGACACCCACAGACTCACCACACAGAGACCCACAGACTCACCACACAGAGACACCCACAGACTCACCACACAGAGACACCCACAGACTCACCACACAGAGACACCCACAGACTCACCACACAGAGACCCACAGACTCACCACACAGAGACACCCACAGACTCACCACACAGAGACCCACAGACTCACCACACAGAGACACCTACAGACTCACCACACAGAGACACGCACAGACTCACTACACAGAGACACCCACAGACTCACCACACAGAGACACCCACAGACTCACCACACAGAGACACCCACAGACTCACCACAGAGACCCACAGACTCACCACACAGACACACCCATAGACTCAGCACACAGAGACCCACAGACTCAGCACACAGAGACCCACAGACTCACCACACAGAGACCCACAGACTCACCACACAGAGACGCACAGACTCACCACACAGAGACACCCACAGACTCACCACACAGAGACACCTACAGACTCACCACACAGAGACACGCACAGACTCACTACACAGAGACACCTACAGACTCACCACACAGAGACACCCACAGACTCACCACACAGAGACACCCACAGACTCACCACACAGAGACACCCACAGACTCACCACACAGAGACACCCACAGACTCACCACACAGAGACCCACAGACTCACCACACAGAGACACCCACAGACTCACCACACAGAGACCCACAGACTCACCACACAGAGACACCTACAGACTCACCACACAGAGACACGCACAGACTCACCACACAGAGACACCCACAGACTCACCACACAGAGACACCCACAGACTCACCACACAGAGACACCCACAGACTCACCACAGAGACCCACAGACTCACCACACAGACACACCCATAGACTCAGCACACAGAGACCCACAGACTCAGCACACAGAGACCCACAGACTCACCACACAGAGACCCACAGACTCACCACACAGAGACCCACAGACTCACCACACAGAGACGCACAGACTCACCACACAGAGACACCCACAGACTCACCACACAGAGACCCACAGACTCACCACACAGAGACACCTACAGACTCACCACACAGAGACACGCACAGACTCACTACACAGAGACACCTACAGACTCACCACACAGAGACACCCACAGACTCACCACACAGAGACACCCACAGACTCACCACACAGAGACACCCACAGACTCACCACACAGAGACACCCACAGACTCACCACACAGAGACACCCACAGACTCACCACACAGAGACCCACAGACTCACCACACAGAGACACCCACAGACTCACCACACAGAGACCCACAGACTCACCACACAGAGACACCTACAGACTCACCACACAGAGACACGCACAGACTCACTACACAGAGACACCCACAGACTCACCACACAGAGACACCCACAGACTCACCACACAGAGACACCCACAGACTCACCACAGAGACCCACAGACTCACCACACAGACACACCCATAGACTCAGCACACAGAGACCCACAGACTCACCACACAGAGACCCACAGACTCACCACACAGAGACGCACAGACTCACCACACAGAGACGCACAGACTCACCACACAGAGACACCTACAGACTCACCACACAGAGACACCCACAGACTCACCACACAGAGACACCCACAGACTCACCACACAGAGACCCACAGACTCACCACACAGAGACACCCACAGACTCACCACACAGAGACACCCACAGACTCACCACACAGAGACCCACAGACTCAGCACACAGAGACCCACAGACTCACCACACAGAGACCCACAGACTCACCACACAGAGACGCACAGACTCACCACACAGAGACACCCACAGACTCACCACACAGAGACCCACAGACTCACCACACAGAGACGCACAGACTCACCACACAGAGACACGCACAGACTCACCACACAGAGACACCTACAGACTCACCACACAGAGACACGCACAGACTCACTACACAGAGACACCTACAGACTCACCACACAGAGACACCCACAGACTCACCACACAGAGACACCCACAGACTCACCACACAGAGACCCACAGACTCACCACACAGAGACACCCACAGACTCACCACACAGAGACCCACAGACTCACCACACAGAGACCCCCACAGACTCACCACACAGAGACACCCACAGACTCACCACACAGACACCCACAGACTCACCACACAGAGACACCCACAGACTCACCACAGAGACACCCACAGACTCACCACACAGAGACACCCACAGACTCACCACAGAGACCCACAGACTCACCACAGAGACCCACAGACTCGCCACACAGACCCCCACAGACTCACCACAGAGACCCACAGACTCACCACACAGAGACCCACAGACTCACCACACAGAGACCCACAGACTCACCACACAGAGACCCACAGACTCACCACACAGAGACCCACAGACTCACCACACAGAGACCCACAGACTCATCACACAGAGACCCACAGACTCACCACACAGAGACCCACAGACTCACCACACAGAGACACCCACAGACTCACCACACAGAGACCCACAGACTCACCACACAGAGACACCCACAGACTCACCACACAGAGACACCCACAGACTCACCACACAGAGACACCCACAGACTCACCACACAGAGACACTCACAGACTCACCACACAGAGACACCCACAGACTCACCACACAGAGACACCCACAGACTCACCACACAGACACCCACAGACTCACCACACAGACACCCACAGACTCACCACACAGAGACCCACAGACTCACCACACAGACACCCAAAGACTCACCACACAGACCCACAGACTCACCACACAGACACCCACAGACTCACCACGCAGACACCCATAGACTCACCACACAGAGACCCACAGACTCACCACACAGAGACACCCACAGACTCACCACACACACAGAGACACGTGGCGTGCAGGAGGGATACTGGACGTGGTGTGCCGCTGGGCTCACCGTCTCCGGCTCTTCCTTCTTCCCGGACGCCGCCCTCTTATGCGGCTTCCTTGCCCCCTCGTCGCCCGGGGGCGGGGGCGGTGGGGGCGGGGCCGAAGAGCTGCCCCCCCCACCCCCCTGCTCCTCATCCTCCTCGTCCCGGCCGCCCTCCTCATCCTCACCCTCCTCCTCCTCCTCCTCGTCGGCCTCCGGCTCGGCCGCCGGAGCCGGAGCCGCCGCCTCCTCCTGCTCATCCTCCTCCTCCTCTTCCTCCTCCTCGTCCTCGCTGTCGTGGTCGTAGTCGACTGGGGAGGTGGGGGTGGTGGTATGACGTGTCAAGCTGCTGCTGCATCAGCAGCTGTAGCAGCAGCAGCAGCAGCAGCGTCACCTTCACACACGGAGGCCACAGGGGGCCACACACGGGGCCACACACGGGGCCTACAGGGGGCCTACAGGGGGCCTACAGGAGACCCACAGGGAGTCTACAGGAGGCCCACAGGAGACCCACAGGGGCCCCACAGGAGACCCACAAGGGGCCTACAGGAGACCCACAGGGGGCCCACATGGGGCCTACAGGGAGCCTACAGGGGGGCCCACAGGAGACACACAGGGGGCCTACAGGGAGCCTACAGGAGACCCACACGGGGCCTACAGGAGACCCACACGGGGCCTACAGGAGACCCACAGGGGGCCCACAGGGGGCCTACAGGGGGCCTACAGGAGACCCACAGGGGGCCTACAGGAGACCCACAGGGGGCCTACAGGAGACCCACAGGGGGCCTACAGGAGACCCACAGGGGGGGCCTACAGGAGACACACAGGGGGCCTACAGGAGACCCACAGGGGGCCTACAGGAGACCCACACGGGGCCTACAGGAGACCCACAGGGGGCCCACAGGAGACCCACAGGGGGCCCACAGGGGGCCACACACGGAGCCTACAGGAGACCCACAGGGGGCCTAGAGGAGACCTACAGGGGGCCTACAGGAGACCTACAGGGGGCCTACAGGAGACCTACAGGGGGCCTACAGGAGACCCACAGGGGGCCTACAGGAGACCCACAGGGGCCTACAGGAGACCCACAGGGGCCTACAGGAGACCCACAGGGGGCCACACACGGGGCCTACAGGAGACCCACAGGGGGCCTACAGGAGACCCACAGGAGACCCACAGGGGGCCTACAGGAGACCCACAGGGGGCCCCCACAGGAGACCCACAGGGGGGCCTACAGGAGACCCACAGGGGGCCTACAGGAGACCCACACGGGGCCTACAGGAGACCCACAGGGGGCCTACAGGAGACCCACCGGGGGCCTACAGGAGACCCACCGGGGGCCTACAGGAGACCCACAGGGGGCCTACAGGAGACACACAGGGGGCCTACAGGGGGCCCACACGAGACACACAGGACACACGCAGGACACCCGCAGGACACCCAGAGGACACCCAGAGGACACAGGACACCCACAGGAGACACACAGGAGACCCACAGGAGACACAGGAGACAGGAGACCCACAGGACACCCACAGGACACCCACAGGAGACCCACAGGAGACAGGAGACCCACAGGACACACACAGGAGACCCACAGGAGACACACAGGAGGCCTACAGGACACACACAGGAGACACACAGGGGGCCTACAGGACACACACAGGAGACACACAGGGGGCCTACAGGAGACACACGACACCCACAGGAGACACCCACGACACACAGGAGACACACAGGAGGCCTACAGGACACACAGAGGAGACAGGAGACACAGGAGACACACACAGGAGACCCACAGGACACACCCACAGGACACACCCAGGGTGCCCACAGGACACCCACAGGACACACACAGGGGGCCCCCTGTTAGTGAGTGTACGAGTGAGTGAGTGTTTGAGTGAGTATGAGTGAGTGAGTGTATGAGTGATTGAGTGTATGAGTGAGTGTGTATGAGTGTATGAGTGAGTGAGTGCACGAGTGAGTGAGTGTATGAGTGAGTGTATGAGTGAGTGTACGAGTGAGTGAGTGTATGAGTGAGTGAGTGTACGTGTGAGTGTATGAGTGAGTGAGTGTACGAGTGAGTGAGTGTATGAGTGAGTGAGTGTACGAGTGAGTGAGTGTACGAGTGAGTGACACTCACGGATGACGTTTTGGCCACACACGTAGACGGGACCGCTGCCACTCTTCAGCCTCACGGTGATGGGACAGTTAAGCTCCAACCCGGACGGGTAGGCCTGCACCAAAGACAAAGGTCCCCCAGGTAGTCTCTAGCAGGCTGTAGGGGCAAGTGCTGTTAATGGCGAGTAGCAGTGTCTATGAAGGAGACAAAGGTCCCCCAGGTAGTCTCTAGCAGGCTGTAGGGGCAAGTGCTGCTAGTAGCGAGTAGCAGTGTCTATGAAGGAGACAGACAAAGGTCCCCCAGGTAGCCTCCAGCAGGCTGTAGGGGCAAGTGCTGTTAACAGCAGCAGCGTCTATGAAGGAGACAGACAAAGGTCCCCCAGGTAGCCTCTAGCAGGCTGTAGGGGCAAGTGCTGTTAGTAAGCGAGTAGCAGTGTCTATGAAGGAGACAGACAAAGGTCCCCCAGGTAGCCTCTAGCAGGCTGTAGGGGCAAGTGCTGTTAGTAAGCGAGTAGCAGTGTCTATGAAGGAGACAGACAAAGGTCCCCCAGGTAGCCTCTAGCAGGCTGTAGGGGCAAGTGCTGTTAGTAGCGAGTAGCAGTGTCTATGAAGGAGACAGACAAAGGTCCCCCAGGTAACCCAGCCTGCGTCCGGGTTACCTGGGGGCGTGTGTGTGTGTGTCCCGTGTGTGTGTGTCGTGTGTGTGTGTCCCGTGTGTGTGTGTGTGTGTCAGTGTGTGTGTGTGTATGAGTGATAGTGTAGCGGTTAGCGCGCTGCGCTATGAACCTGGCGACCAGGGTTCGATTCCCGCTCACGGCCAACACCAGTGACGATTATCTGAACCGGTCCCAGGCCTCCCCTAGGTCGACTCAGCCTCAAATGAGTACCTGGTGCGGTGTGTAAACATTGCCACTAGGGAGACAAAGGCGGTCGGGCGTGGTGCTGGCCACCCACCCCCTCGTGTACCGTTCCGGCCTTCATAGGTGCTCGCTAACAGCACTTGCCCCTACAGTCTGTTAAGGCTATATGGGGGATCTTTGTCTTTGTATCTTTGTGTGTGTCCCGTGTGTGTGTGTGTGTGTCCCGTGTGTGTGTGTGTGTCCCGTGTGTGTGTGTGTCCCGTGTGTGTGTGTGTGTGTCCCGTGTGTGTGTGTCCCGTGTGTGTGTGTGTGTCAGTGTGTGTGTGTCAGTGTGTGTGTGTGTCCGTGTGTGTGTGTGTCCCGTGTGTGTGTGTGTCCGTGTGTGTGTGTGTCCCGTGTGTGTGTGTGTGTCCCGTGTGTGTGTGTGTGTCCCGTGTGTGTGTGTGTGTGTCCCGTGTGTGTGTGTGTCAGTGTGTGTGTGTGTCAGTGTGTGTGTGTGTCACACACACACTGACACACACTGCTGCTGAGACTGGAGCGTGCCACTAAGAGGTGGGGCCTTACCATCAGCCCCACCAAAACTAAGCACCTGCCTGGGTATTTTGTACCATCGGACACTCCACCCCCACAACTCCCAATCGGTGATGGGGCAGTTGTGGAGAGAGTGGAGAGTTTCCCATACCTGGGCAGTGTGCTTATGACCGGCACCAGTTTAACAGCAGAGGTCTCACTCCGAATCAGTCGAGCGGCAATATCTTTTCATCGGTTGCGTAACGCTGTGTGGAAGCTACCTGGTCTGTCGCTCCGCACTAAGCTTCAGGTCTTCTCGGCCACGGTCATTCCCTCCCTTCTCTACGCTTGCGAAACGTGGACCCCCCTAATGGAACATCTTCGCCGGTTAGAAACATTTAGGCTGGCCTGCCTACGATCCATCCTGGGTTTAACCAGACTGGATTGTGTGAGGAGCTCACAAATCCTTGAAAGATCTGGGCAGGGTCCCATCGGTGAGCTCCTCCGGCAGGCAAGGCTGCGATGGCTGGGTCATGTAGCCCGCATGCCCAGCCACCGCATGCCGAAACAGCTTTTGTTTGGCCGGATTGAGGGGGCTAAGCGGGCGCGGCACGGGCTAGAGAAGAGATGGAGTGATGTGGTACAGGAGGACGTGGAGCTAAGTGGACTTGCCGATGACTGGTACCAGCGGTGTCAAGATCGGCCTCTGTGGAGGAGGCTCGTGAAGGATGCTACTGGGCAGTTGGAGGCAGTCGCCCTCCAACAACAACGGAGGGCGGAGGAGCGACGCTCACAACAGCGAGCGGAGCGCCGGGTGGCTAAAGCACAGCAGGTTGGCACAGTAGGGGGCACAGGTGGTGCATCAGCCAGTCATCTCAGTCAGTCGACCCGTGGCACCTGGGTCTGCCCCGTGACCTCCTGCCAGCGGGCGTTCGACACTTCACGTGGCCTCAGGGTGCACATAGCCTGGCACAAGCGTCGTGGTGACGTCACCGCCACTTAGTGGCGAATGGCGGTTGTTGTTGTTGTTGTGTCAGTGTGTGTGTGTGTTAGTGTGTGTGTGTGTCCCATGCGTCTGTCCATGTGCATCAGTCCGCTGCCAGTAGACGGGGTAGCGGGCACGAGAGATGAAGGCCAAGGACAGAGAGGCCTTCATCACTCTTAGTAGTGAGGTAGTGAGCAAGCGCCTTCACTCTTAGTAGTGAGCAAGCGCCTTCACTCTTAGTAGTGAGCAAGCGCCTTCACTCTTAGTAGTGAGCAAGCGCCTTCACTGTTAGTAGTGAGCAAGCGCCTTCACACTTAGTAGTGAGCAAGCGCCTTCACTCTTAGTAGTGAGCAAGCGCCTTCACTCTTAGTAGTGAGCAAGCGCCTTCACTCTTAGTAGTGAGCAAGCGCCTTCACTCTTAGTAGTGAGCAAGCGCCTTCACTCTTAGTAGTGAGCAAGCGCCTTCACTCTTAGTAGTGAGCAAGCGCCTTCACTCTTAGTAGTGAGCAAGCGCCTTCACTCTTAGTAGTGAGCAAGCGCCTTCACTCTTAGTAGTGAGCAAGCGCCTTCACACTTAGTAGTGAGCAAGCGCCTTCACTGTTAGTAGTGAGCAAGCGCCTTCGACACTCTTAGTAGTGAGCAAGCGCCTTCGACACTCTTAGTAGTGAGCAAGCGCCTTCACTGTTAGTAGTGAGCAAGCGCCTTCACTCTTAGTAGTGAGCAA